TTCCTGTCCTTATCCCAAAACTCACTCCACCAGGAGACTCAGAACACCCAGAAGCAGGACAGCTCCAAAGACGGACAGGAGCAGAATCTGGGCTTCCCAAAGATCCTGACTTCCTGCAGGGAACCCAGGAGGCAGTGAATGATTCTGGAACGCACACTCACCGACGGGGGAGCCCAAGGGCTCAGGGATCTGGGCAAGGTGGGGCGGGGCCAGGGTGGGCGTGAGGACCTGGGAAGCAGCGCTTTCGGGGCCAGCAGGACGCCTCCATCCCCTTGCAGGTGGAGCAGTTGTACAGCGTGGTGCTGCCCCCTGCAGGAGACAGCAGAGGCAACGCTGGGGAGGGGAGGCCGGGCCTCCACCCTGCCTGGTACCCAGCTTCTTCCTGCAGCTGCCAGGCCCTCCTCTGACACCCTGCAGGCCCCAGGTCCTTACTACCCCTTTCCTTTCCTACTCACGGCAGGCAGGGGGACAGAGAGCTGAAATGAAAGACAAGGAAGGGGTGAGGGTGTGCGTGGATGAGCTGCTCACCACACATCCCTTTGGCTAAGACGCTAGGCTCCCCTTGAGGCCCATCCCGTGTCGGTACCTTCCCTGGTGTACTCAGGGAGCTTGATCTTTCGAAGCCAACTCCAATATGAAGGGAGTGAGGAGAGAACCTCTTTGATCTCTGGGGAGGCAGAGAGCAGCTCCGTTGCCCTGGGCCTCGATGGGGCCAGTGCCCCCTCCCTTCACCCAGCCCCCTCCCTGATCAGCCCTCCTGTCTCTGCCCCTCCACCCTTCCCCTCCCACCCCAGCCCCTGTCACCTACCCCTCTCCTTGGTGTCCTCCCAAGCCCCTAGGTCACTCTTTCCCCTTGACCTCACCCATGACCCTCAGGACTCTGTGAGTCTTCTCTGTGACTTTGTTCATGGACACCTCATCTGTGGAGATGGGCAAGGACCAGCGACTCCCTCACCAACTCAGGTTCTGGGGTCTCTCCTGACTTTCCCAGATATGGAGCTCTCTCAGAGAGAGAGGCCAGCATGTCCAGAAAGGGCCACAGACGGAGGGCACAGCTGGGAGGTCACACGCCACCCTCTGGGGGTATGGGGGTGAGTGCTTGCCGGACCCATCCCTGGATGTCTGATCCTACCTAAGGCAAAGGCCGAGAAGTCCGGGGAGGCCCCACATTCCTTCTGCCCGGCCTCCATTCGGCTGCAGAGCCGAGCCAGGCGGCCTGACAAGTCGTGGGCTGGGAGGCGGCAGAAGACACAAGCCTGGGCGGCTGCCAGGAAAACCCCGCCTAGTGCCAGCCTCCACATGAGGACCACTGGGGGATGGGGCGGGGCTGCCCCAGCTGGGCCGAGGAATGCTCTGCAGCCCTGGCTCCAGCCCTTGCCTGGAGGTTCTAGAGTGTTCCAGAACAATGGCACTGCCCATCCTCAGCTAGGGTAAAGCTGGGGCTCAAGGAACTGGGGTCCAGAAGACATCTCCAGCAGGCGACGGGCAGAGAAAACAGGGCTTCTGTTGTGAGGGGACAGCACCCCCAACCTGGCCCTCAACAGCCTTCACAAATTTGTGGTTCCAAAAGCAGTTTTATTTTTCTCTCGTAAATCATGACCAGTGAGAAATAATGCGTGCCCCCCCAGTGAAGAAGCTGTGCATGAGTATCCCACCCGCTCTGGGACCCAGAAATCCCATCCTTTCCCATCTCCTCCCCCACTGTCCCAAACTCTTCATCTCCTCTCTCTGCCCTGGGCAGCCTTGGGCCTTCCCCAGCTATCTCCTAGCAACAGGCCCACGGTTGCCTCAGCAACCAAGAGTTCCATACAGGCCTCAGAGGCCCAGCTAAGCCCAGTGACTTCTCTTACCTCTCACCGGGAAGATCCCAGTGACCCAAACCCCAACAGGCCCCTCCTGGCTACGTGGTGATGCATATACATGCGTGCACATAAACACACACACACACCCTGTGATTAAACTACTAATTGTCAGCCACCTCACAGGTATACCACAGACACACCCTGTGCCAGAAGAGTCGACTAGGCAACCCCAAACAGGCCTGGACATGCAGACATCACAGACACTGTAGTCAGCAACACAGATAGGAACCAGGATGCCACGGACCTATACATCAGTCAGACACACGGGCTGAAATGCACGCACACATGAGGGAAGGCCAGGACCCAACAAATACTGCCCTCTTCCCGCTGGCCAGCCCTGCCATCAGTAGAGGATTCTTCCAGATGAGGGATGCTCCAGCCCCATTGCCGTGGGCACTCTCCTAGCTCCCGTGCATCAACCTAGGGTGGGTTGTGGCCTTTCCACCTCCCTCAGTAGGTGGCTTGGAACACAGCAAAGAATTCCTCTTCCCATGTTCCAGAGTGCTCTGGCCTCTCATTGGTCAGGCCAGGCCAGGCCACCCAGCTTCAGGAGGAGAAGCCATGGTCCCAGAGACCGCACTGGGGAAATGCGAAGTCCTCCCTTTTCCCCAGACCTCAATATCCTTCCAGGGTTTTGCCAGGTCTGGTCTGGGTAAAGAGATGTTCCCCTCTTTTCCAGGCCCTTAAACACTGAGATCCAGATCAAGGAGAGACTGGAGGTCCCCAGCCTTAGGTGAGAACAAGCCAAGAGAACCTTCCCTACCCTCCCAGGGTCAGCACAGGTCGAGACCTTCTGGATCCTTTGTGAGTCCTTGCTGGGCCAGGTTTGGGAATTCCTGCCCACATCTGAGCTCCAGTCAGGTGCAGGAGGACCCCGACTCTCATAGCTCCCGAAGCAGAGCTGGAAAGAGGCTTCAGAGGTGCCAGTACCCCGTTCTCTCTCCTCCCCACAATCAAACTGAGAAGAGTCCTCAGTGCCGGACAAAGCGCAGAGACCGGGAGTTGAGCAGGTCTTCGGGGTCGGGGAAGACAGAGTCTAGGCGGAAGCCGTGCTCGAGAGCCACCCGCAGCACCTCCTCCAGGAAGCTCGGCGTGCCCACCACCTCCCGCCGCGCTCCTGGCCCCCCAGTCCACAGCGGCTGCAGCCCCAGTCTCCCATACTCCACCTCGGGGAGTTCCACGGGGCGGGGGGCCCACTCCAGATGAAAATGTGGGCTCCCCTCTGCCCTGTCCCCACTGGCCACACCAAATCGGGCCCGCAAAGCACCTAGACACTCCGGGTCGGTGCAGAAGAGGTTGGCTCGGAAGGTGTCCACCTGGGCGGAGCTCAGCTCATAGTGATGGGGTCCCCGGCGAGCAGAGAAGTGCACCAGGCGGGGGCTGGCATCGACATCTGCGTGGAGCAGGGCAGCTGTGGGTGCGGGGGTCCCCCGAGAGGCCTCCAGTTCCCGCAGCGCGTCCAGGAGGGGCCGGATCTGGTAGAAGTCAGCCTCTGCCCTGAGCAGCGCTGTCTCTCCGTACCCGCGGGGGAGGTCCAGGCGGCCCAGCCTCAGGAAATTGAGGATGTGCCGGAAGGCCTTGCCATCCCGGTCGATGAAGTAGTGGCCGCCTCCTTGCGGATTGAGGTTAGGAGGCATGGGGGTGCCGGCCCTAAACATGGCCCCCAGCATGGAGTCTGGGAAGCGGGTCAGGGTCTCCAAAGTGGTGGAATATAGCGTGCCCCCCACATTCAGGGTCACGGGGCCCCCAAAGGAGGGGGGCGAAGAGGGCACAGGAGGAGGAGAAATTTTGGGAAGCACAGGAGACACCGAAAGAAAAGAAAAGGCACAACTTCCTGGGTGTGTGCAGAATTGGGTCGAAGCTGTCAGATTCGCTGGGTTGGAGGCACAGGTGGAGCACACGCCGTAAGGTTTGGGGCTCACCCCAGCTACTTTGGTGGTGGATGGGGAGCTCGTCTCAGGACACAGAAATCCCCAAAGGGTTGAGAGAAGAGATTGAAAGAGCAGAGGGCAGCCAGAGAGGAGAAGGGAGCTTGAGGTTTGGACGTATCCGATTTGAGGTGGTCAGCGACACCCCTCTGTGATCTTCAGACAGTGGGTTTCCGGAATCCAACCAGCAGATGACGGTGGCGAGCACAGGGCCGACTCCGAAGAGCTGGTTTCCGAGACCCCGGGCAGATCGCTGCCGCCGTGGACGAGTTCCCCAGGGCTCTGGGGCCACTCAGAGGCCTGGCCTGGCTGCCGGCGCGGGTCCCAGGAGATGGATAGGGAACTGACGGGAGCTGATGGCGGAGCCCCCTTATATCCGCCGGGGAGTGACGATGCGTGTGCTCAGCCCGGGCTGGGAGTGTCCGAGGGCTCTGATGGAAACAGCCAGGAGTCTCGGGACCCGGCCGCGCCGCCTTCCCTGGGTGTCGCCGCAGCCGCTGAGGCCCTCTCCGCCCCCAGGAAGTGGCCTAAGGGCAGCGGCCCGGGGCCCTTTAAGAGACAGCCCCGCCCCTTGGCGCCCCGCCCCCGCCCCCGCGAGGCTCGCGCTGCTCTGGCGGAGGCGGGAGGCTGGAGGCGAGTCTCGGACGCGAGAGACTGGGCGGACTGGCTGGACTGGCAGATGCTGGCGGGACGGGGTGACTCAGGCATGTCGCCCCGGATGTGGCCGCGACCTCCCCGCCGCCCCTACAGGTGTGCTCGACCTCACGTCTGCAACTCGGCGGGGCTGGAGCCTCTAACCCCACCGCTCAGAGCCCGAGGCCCGGCCGTCCCGGCCCGGGAGCAGCGTCCCTCCCAGCGGCTCCCCCGGGGAATTCCCGAGGGGGCGGGTGCTGAGCCGCCGCATTCCGGGGATGCCTTCCAGCCGGGGTGGCCCGGGCGCGCTCTCTCCGCGGCGGCAGCGGGGCCAGAGAGCCCCAGGGTCGGCCCCACCCCTCGGCAGGACTGGGCTGGCCACGTCGCCCCAGCCCAAGAGCCCCCGCCCCGCAACGCCCGGCGCTCGGGTCGCGGCCGAAGCTGCCGCCTCGCTCCCTGGAGTCGCCCCTTGCTGGACTCGAGGTCGCAAACCCCCAGCCGCTCCCCGCACCCCAGGAGCCTCAGCGCCCAACACCCTACGGGTCCAAAGGTGGCGCCCAAGAAGTGAACCAGAAGGGAAGAGCGAAGCACGGAAGCTTTAATGGCAGAGGGCCCGGTGACGGGGAGGGGAGGGAGGCGCAGACCCTTAGGGCCTGGGGTCACAGCGTGTGGAGGTCGTGACTGCGCCGGCTCAGCTTCTCCGGGTCATCTGACGCCATGAGGGAGAAGTCGCGGAAGATGTCAAGATACGTCTCATCTCCTAGGGGAGGGAGGAAAGGCCGGGAGGCGGCTGGGCCCCAATGCAGAAGGGCAGGGTCCCGCGTTTGGGGGCCGCCTGGGGACCTCGCGCTCCGAGCCTGGATGGGAACGTGCGCGCCGCGAGCACCGCGCCAGCGCCCATGCCTTGCCAGGGCCTGGCATGTCGCATGCGCCCAATACGCGTTTGTTGAATAACGGAATGAATGCAGTTGGGCACTAGGGAGAGAGGTCACCGTGGACCAGAAGCCCAGAGTTCAGGTGTTGGGCCTGGCGGGTAGGGTGGGTGTATTCTTTACCTGCCTGCCCCTGGGCCGCTTCAGCTTCCCTCATCTTTGCCAGTCGTAGCCTGAAGGGAAGGGAATTAAGACATGAACGACACTATCCTTGGCCGGGCGGGGTGGCTCACGCCTGTAATCCCAACACTTTGGGAGGCCGAGGCAGGTGGATCACGAAGTCAGGAGATCGAGACCGTCCTGGCCAACATGGTGAAACCCTGTCTCTACTAAAAATACAAAAAATTAGCCGGGTGTGGTGGCGGGCGCCTGTAGTCCCAGCTACTCGGGAGGCTGAGGCAGGAGAATCGCTTGAACCCGGGAGGCGGAGGTTGCAGTGAGCCGAGATCGCAACACTGCACTCTAAAGTGGGCGACAGAGTGAGACTCCGTCTCAAAAAAAAAAGTCGTCTCAAAAAAAAAAAAAACCAACACTATCCTCACCTCCCCCGCCAACTTCCCATTCTTTGAGCTGGGTTGCGTTCGTTCATCTGCCCACCCGGGGTCACGTCTAGTGCTAAAAAGATGCCTGACGGCAATGTTGATGGGCGAATGACGCCTCTCAGGGTGAGCCAAGCGTCCTCGCACCCTGCCCGCCCTCCCGCCTGCCTTCTACTCCACGCCCCAATGCACACTTGGCGCAGCCTTTCTTGAGCCTGGCCCAGGCGCTGGCCCAGCCCTTCCCCAGGCCCCACCGGGCAGGCTCCTGTTTCTGCATCAGCCCCGCCCACCCGAAAGTGGGCGGGGGGTGGTGGGGCTCCAGCGCCAGCCAGCCCCTCCCCTTCAGGCATTCTCACAGGGTGACGATGTCAGCGTTGGCTGTTTCCATGGCGATGGTCAGAGGGTCCCTGCCTTCAGAGTCTCGAGCCCCCAGATCAGCCCCCCGTTTCAGGAACAGGCAGGCGAGCCTGGAGAGAAGAGCCAGGGTCAGCCGGCCACCCAACTCCTCCCAGCCTTCCTCCCCATGGCTGTCATCCCTACCCTGTGTGGCCAAGAATGGTTGCGTGGTGCAGCGGGCCCCGGCCCGTACTGTCTGCTTGGTTCACATTCGCCCCGTTCTGGAGGAGAAACTCACAGGCCATAAGAGAATTCTGCACGGAGAAATCGAGAAGGGGGGTTGAGGGTGGCATCCCTAGTGGTGGATTTCAAGATGTCTTAGGGCGGTGCCAGTTCAGAGAATGGGAGGGTGGGGTGTGTTAATCAGGAGTGTAGAAGGGGTTATAGCTAACTCAGGCTTGACTCCAGCTCTTTGCATGTATTCACATATAAATCTGTAGTACACGCTTATGAGGCATGTTACTATTTTACAGATGAGACAGATTGTTAAAAGTCTCCTGTAAGGGGTGAGAGCCTGGGTTCAAACTCAGGTTCTCTGCCTCCAAATCACACACTCTTAGCAGCCAGTCTCTGTTGCTGGTGTCTCTCTATGGGTGGAGACCCTAGGGAACAGGTGGTGGGAAGAGGAGGTAAGGGCAGGGCCTAGAGTCAGGAGTAGGTGTCAGAGCCCTAGGGTGGGGTGGGGAGGTGGGCAGGGCTCTCACAGCAGCTGTAGCCTGGATCAGCGGCGTGGCATTCTCTTGGCCCCCATTGACCCAGTTGACATCAGCTCCGTGGGCAAGGGCATCGGCCATGGTGGGAAGAGATGGAGGATGCCCAGACGCTCGAAACAGCAAGGCCCCGGGGTGCAGGCTTCCCAGGTCCTCAGAGGGGGGCTCTGTTCGGGGGATTTGGTTCTTTTAGGGGGAAGCAGCTCCGAGTCTGGGAAGAAAACCCTCAGCACAGTGCCCGGATGCTATAACGGGACATGTCTCTTCTAAATGGTGGGGAGCTTGGGACTATGGAGGGAATAGAGTGTGCAGGCGTGGGTATGTGTAAGTGTGAGTATGCATGTGTACGAGTCCCTAGGGTGTGGGGGAGAGACGGCATCACCACCTCATCCAGTCCAACCACCCCAACTGCTGGGATGACACAGGTGAGCTGACTGCCTGACACTCAGCCTCAGCTCTCAACCCCTGCCGCTCCAGCCTAACCCACCCCCCCTTTTCTCATGCTGCTGGCACCCCTTACCCTGCCTGCCCACACCCAGCCCCACATTCCTTCCCATTCTTCATGTCACACTCCACTGTAACCCCTGAAACGGCAGTCTGGTCCCTCTGACATTCTCCAGGGGAGGGCCTGGGCTTCACACTCTGTGCCTCCCTGCGGGACCCAGCACGGTGCCAAGTACACAGCAAGTGCTCAGTGAATGCCCAGCCAACCCTATACCTGGCTTGGATCTCAAGCTCCCTGGCCGGGGCCTGATGGAAGGCTTTGGGGGCACAGGAGGCTGCCCCCTTGGGGGCCCCCGGCCACCTCTTCGCCCTCGAATCTCAGGCAGCTTGGTCAGGAACTTCTTCTCCACATATTTAGCATGAATCCAGGCCTCCTTCTCCTGCCTGTGGGAGGGGAGAAGCACGCAGTCTTCCCTCCTCTTGCTCCAGGTATCCCCCATTCCCCTGGGAGGCTAAACCCCAAGATTACCGGGAGCAGCTGGGCCCTGGTTTCTTCACTGCCATGGCCTCCACGCGGGCCTCATAGATCTGGTTGATGACGACATTTCCCAGCTCACACATGAGCTTCGGGAGGCCCAGGCAGAGGCAGAGACAGGTAAGGTGGGGGTGAGTGATTCTTCAGGGGTCACGCCCCTGCACCCCCATGTCCTTGCCCTGCCCCAAGTTCTTGCCCCCAATCTTCACAATACCCCAAGTTACCTTCACTAGTTCTGGCTCCCATGAGTCAAGGGTCAGAGACCGGACTTTGGAGAAGTGAACACCAAGGCTCCTGGAGGGCCAGAGGGGAGGGTCAGGCCCTGTGCGGGGCAGTGGCCTGGGCAGCTGCTGCTGCTCCTGAAGACACTGGGAGGCAAGGCTGGCATAGGGGCCCATGCGGAGGTGCTGGCCCAGGAAGCAGGGCAGCTGCGGCCATGTAGCCTTGACCTGGCCCTGGCAGGACCCTGCCTCGTCACTGATTCCTTCTTCCTTAGGTTTCATTTCAAGGCTTCAGCCACCTCCCTTCTCTAGTGACACTTTGGCCTGGACAACCTCTCCCATGTCACCTCTCTTCCACCAAACTGAGGCGGGGGGCAAGGGCCTTAGACACTTGCTAAGGCCTCATGACTGTTTCTCTGCCTAGTCTTCATTGGCTCCCCCACCCTCAGCAGCCTTGACCCCACACTTCTTCCAACCAAGCCAACAAATTCTGGGTATCCCCCAATTCTGGCCAGACTAGGACACAGAGAGGCCAGGCCCACCTCGGTCCAACTGGCACCCCACAGGCTTGGGCCCAGGCCTGGTACCCAGTGACAAAACCAGAAGCTAAGAGAGGAAGCCAGGACAGGGAAGGAAGAGGGGCCAGTGTGATGAGCTCTCTATTGGAGCCGCACTGTGGCCCGAAGGAGTGGGGCTCCCGCCTGGGCCTCATGGAGTAACCTGTGGATGCCGGAACACTGAATGCAGAGGGTGACACCAAGGTTGATGCTGGCCCACTCTGGGGCTGGCTCCCGGCAGTCGCAGCACTGGGCATTGCCATCCACACTCTGGACCTGTGCCACCACATGCCCGGCTCCCCCAGGCTCCCTTCCCCTGGTCATTCCACCGCAGCCCAGGGTGGCAGCAGAGCCTATGGCCAGGTGTCCCGAGCCCTGGAGAATTGAAGAGAAGAAAGGGTGGCCTAGGGTAAGGGGTGCTCCATCTCCATGGGCAGCCTGGCTCCGCACCCCCAGGTTAATTTACCTGGCCTGGACCCCGGGGGCTGTCATCAAGGCGAGCCTGACTAAAGGCAGAAGCGATGCTGCTCTGCACAGCACTGACCCACAGCTGCAGGAGGCGCTCTGAGTCAGCCTGGAGGAGGCAGGACCTAGGTAGGAGGGTGAGGGAGATGGCAGAGGGGTCTCAGGCCTGGGAAGCAAAGTGGCAGGATGAGCAGGATTCAGCCAGTGTTCAACCAGTTCCAGTTGCATTGAAAGACTTCTGTACCAGTTGGTAATAGTCTCCTGAATATCCCCCATCACCCTGTACCCTCTTCCACAATGGCCCCCCAGTACAGCCACCAAAGAATTAAATTAAGGTCTGGAGCTGCATGGGGGGGCCTCCATTGTCGTGGGCCCTGCCTTTCAGATTGGCAACTGTTTAGATATATTAGAGTATCACCCCTGGGGATTGCACTCACTTGCTGGTGGACACCACTTCAAAGCAGAACCGCCTTTCTGAGTCAGGACAGAGTTTCACTGTGCAAAGACGAAGGTCATCCACCACCACAGTCACAGGGTCCTGGCAGGATAAGGTGATAAGGGGGCAGATGTCCAGCTGCAGGCAAGGGCTGAGTCTCCCTGGGGCCCAGACATCCAGGACCCAGGCCCACTCACCTTGTACTTCTTCTGGTAAACCAGTTGGTTGCTCTGAATGGTGAACCAGCGTCTGTAAGAGAAGGAAATCATTATAGACATGGGCAGCTTTAGGATGAGGGACAGAAGAGAGGCTGTGCTCTTTGCCCATGAGGATCTTACTGAGAGGAGAGACACCTGGGCTGACTGTTCCACGAGACATTCCAGAGAAGGGTGGACAGTTGTGCAGCCTGGAACATCTAAAGGATGCTATTTAGTCATATCTTGGACAATCTAGATTTCATATAGTTATGAAGACAACTTTCCAGCAGATGGCAGTAAAATTATTTTTCTAATAAAATGTCTATTGCTACAATTTAAAAAATACTATTTAGGCTGGGCTCACACCTGTAGTCCTAGCACTTTGGGAGGCCAATGAGGGCGGTGGATCACCCAAGGTCAGAAGTTTGAGACCACCCTGACCAATATGGTGGAACTCCGTCTCTACTAAAAATACAAAAGTTAGCCAGGCATGGTGGCAGGCGCCTATAATCCCACCTACTTGGGAGGCTGAGGCAGGAGAATTGCTTGAACCCAGGAAGCGTAGGTTGCAGTGAGCCGAGATCGCACCACTGCACTCCAGGCTGGGCAACAGAGTGAGGCTCTGTCAAAAAGAAAAGAGAAAAGAAAGAATCTTGGGGGCCAGGTACCGTGGCTCACGCCTGTAATCCCAGCAATTTGGGAGGCCAAGGCAGGCGCATTGCTTGATGTCAGGAGTTTGTGACCAGCCTGGGCAACATGCTGAAACCCTGTCTCTATCAAAAATACAAAAATTAGCCAGGCATGGTGGCGCACACCTGTGGTCCCAGCTATTTAGGATGCTGAGGAGGGAGGATCACTTGAACTCAGGGGGCGGAGGTTGCAGTGAGCCAAGACTGCACCACTGCACTCCAGCCTGGGCAACAGAGTGACACCCCATCTCAAAAAACAGAAAAAAAAAAAAGTATCTTGGGGAAGCGGCTCCATTCTCTAATGTGCACAGAGATCCCATATGGGCTAGCAGTGGCCCTCGAAGGGGAAGGAGTCAAGTCACAGCATGCTGCCATCCTGTTCCAAACCCTATAGCGGCTCCCAATTGCCCTCAGAGTAGACCCCAAATCCCTACAAAAATCTACATGGCCCTATAATGACTCGTGCCCCCATTAGCTCCAGTTTCATCTCCTACACATCCTCCTCCCTCACTCTGTCCAGACCCAGGGCCACCACCCTGCTCTTCCAACTCCCCAGCTGTCTCAGGGCCTTGGCACTGGCTCTTTCTTCTGTCTAGAACTTTCTTCCCCCAGATATCCTTCAAGTCTTTGTTCAAAAGTTACCTTCTCATGAAGCCCACACTGCCCAGCTATTTAGAACTGCAACCCCTACCCAGCTCCCCACATTCCTTGCTTTATTATCTTTCTCCTATAGCACTATCACTTTCTAACATAGCCCGTAATTTACTGACTAGGTTTATCGTCTGCCTTTGCCGATGGAATGTAAACTCTACTAAGGCAGGGGGGTTCGTCCGTTTTTCCTTGCAGTGCTTAGCGTGCTATTACCACTCGAAAATACATAATTGGGTGGGGTAGGCTGATTGGGGTGTCCTCTCCTCACCTGCTCCAGGTCTTAAATGCGTTGCTGGCCCGTTTGAAGAGATGTCCTTCCATCACCAGGCCACCGGGCCCCTCTCTCAAGCTTGGTTCTGGCTCCTCCCCACCCAGCTCCTGGAGGCACAAGAGGATCAAAGGGCAACTGAGATGGGCAGAGACCAAGGCCATAGGCATCTGCCTCCTGCCCACAGCCCTAGCCCTCACTTTTTGCTTGTTGAAATATTTTTTAAAATTTATTTTTAGAGACAGGGTCTTGTTCTTTCACCCAGGCTTAAGTGCAGTCGTGTGATCATAGCTACTGCAGTCTTGAACTCTTGGGCTCAAGTGATCCTCCCGCCTCAGCCTCCCGAGTAGCTAGGACTACAGGTGCATGCCACCACACCAGCTAATTTTAAATTTTTCTGTAGAGATGGAGTTTCACTATGATGCCTAGGCTAATCTTGAACTCCAGGCCTCAAGCGATCCTCCCACCTCAGCCTCCCAACATGTTGGGATGACGGTCGTGGGCCACCGCACCTGCCCCCTCACCTTCTGTTTCAGCAGCACGTGTCTCTGCTCCATGTCCCTCTTCTCTCGTGCGGAATTCAAGACCAGCTGGTGCAACTGGGCACAGGAAGGGCATCTCAGATGCCCAAGGCCCCCCAGTTAGGAGTCCCTAAGCTCCCTCCACCACCTGCTGTGCCCTGGGGGCCCCACCTGGGCACCCAGCTCCTTTCGATACTGGGACAGCCGGCTCAGCTCCTCGTGGCCCTGCTGGAAATGGGTAGCCTGGGCTTCCACCAAACGCAGCACCTGGGGGACAAGGTGGGCAGTGGGTGGTCTGAGGAAGAACCCCTCTCCCCTTTCCCTTGTGCTGGCAGCAGGCTCCTCTCCACCCTGCCCTCACCCCCGCCACAACTCACAAACTCCATGATGTCAAACTTCCTCTTGTCCTCAATCACATTGATCTGAGGACGTAAAAAGACCCCAGGTTAGTCTTGAAAACACAGCACCCCTTCCCACTGCACAGTGGGGACCCCCCAGCCTCGAGGTGACACCTGAGGCTCTGGTACCCCAGGAAGACAGGTTGGGGCAGGCACCTGCAGGGCATAATCCAGTGCCCGTCCCCGGTAGCCAGCTCGCGCCGTCCTCAAAGCAGCTCCTGCCTCTTCTGCCTCCTGGGCCCGGCGCCTGGGAACCTCCGCGTTGTGGGTCAGGGCAGCCTCCAGGCTCTCAGCCCCCCGCCAGAAATCCCGGCGAGCCTCTCGGAAACCCCGAAGACCTCTGAGGATGGGAAGATGACACAGAATCGCAGCTAACACCCACCTGCCCCAGCAGAGCATTCCCAGGGTAAAGCCCTCATGTCCTTTCAGTTAGTCTCTGCATGTGGGAAACCCAAGGAGATCCCTGGGATGGAAGTCAGGACACCAGAAACCCCCAATCTCACAACTCCACCACTGGGGTGGAGCCACCGCGCCCAGCCTAATTTTTGTATTTATTGTGGAGACAGAGTGTCACCATGTTGGCTAGGTTGGTGTCGAACTCCTGGGCTCAAGCAATCCTCCCAAAGTGTTGGGATTACAGGCATGAGCCACTGCGCCCGGCCCCATCTCACTCTTTGACCAGGGTCTGGATCTGCTGCTGCAGTGTGTGTTGGGTGGCATCTAGAAGCTCCTGAGGGAAGAAGTTGGTAGGTTGGGGTCAGGACCACAGGCAACCTGGCCACCACCCCCGCAATCCCTACCTTCCCCTACTTACCGCATGGCTGTCCAGCTTGTGGTTCAGGCTCACGGTGAATTTTTCCAGACACTCCTAGGCAAGCAGAGGCATAGAAAGAGTACCAGGCGTGGGGTGGCAGCGCCCTCCCGACTCGAGACCCAGCCTGCTATGGCTATCTAGGATGACAGCCCAGCCCCGCTCTGGCCTGGAACCTGCAGACCCCAGGCCAGCCCTCCTCTTCCACAGCATCACCTCCTCACCCCAGACCCCTTCCCACCCAGATGCAGACCCTCCGTATACCGCCATCATGGGTTCTGGTGGACCCAGGTGGGCCAGGTCACAAATGCCGACAATGAAGGCACGGCTGGCAGCAAGGTAATGGCGCCCACTTTCCAGGAGACCAGTGCCCAGTTTCAGGAGCTGGGAAAGAAGGAGAGTAACAGGGAGCTGTGCAGTCATCCCCACACCAGGTGACGCCCCCACACCTGCCCCACTTCCTCTCCCCTTGCCCAGAGCAGCGCTCCCCCATTCCTGTCTCGCCTCACCGTCCTCCAGGCTCATGCAGCTCTCCCTGTATCTAACACACACCTGCTGTGTTCTCATCGCTGCCTCTGCTCCCACTGCCTTGGGCCTGAAACCAAATTCCTGCCCATTCCTCTCAGCCTGTCGCCAACACATCTGTCAGCCTTACCTCCAAAACATCTTTCCCTGTCCCCTCGCACACATCTCTTCCTGCCCTGCCTACCTGCTTAGATCCAGAGCTCCCTGGAGATTCCAGCCTCCTGCATGGTCTGGATGCTCTAAGTGGTTGCTATTAAATTCTACAGTATTGGCCGGACATGGTGGCTCACACTTGTAATCCCAGCCCTTTGTGGGGCCACGGCAGGCCAGTCGCTTGAGCTCAGGAATTCAAGACTAGCCTGGGCAACATGGTGAAACCCCATCTCTACTAAAAATACAAAAATTAGCCAGCCATGGTGGCACGTGCCTGTAATCCCACGTGCCTGTAATCCCAGCTACTTGGGAGGCTAAGGCAGGAGGACTGCTTGAACCCAGGAAGCTGAGGCTGTAGTGAGCCGAGATGGCACCACGTGCCTGTAATCCCAGTTACCTGGGGAGCTAAGGCAGGAGGACTGCCTGAATCCGGGAGGTCAAGGCTGCAGTG